AAAACACTTAGATACAATTACTCCTGTGAGGCCACACCAATAAAATAACTATATTGTAAACATGGATTAAGGCCATGCTAATAAAATCCTGATATTGTACAGCACATGTTAAGACTACAACAATAAAATCACAATATTGTACAACTCCTGTTATGGCCACGCCAATTAAATAACAATATTGTACAACTTGGATAAGAGTTATGCCAGTAAAATCACAATATTGTACAACTCCTGTTAAGGCCATACCAATTAAATCACAACACAGATAGAAGTTATCCCAGTTAAATCACAATATTGTACAACTCCTGTTAAGGCCACACCAACAAAATCACAATATTTTACAACACAGAGAGAAGTTATGCCAGTAAAATCACTATATTGTATAACTCCTGTTAAGGCCACACCAACAAAATCACAATATTGTACAACTTGGATAAGAGTTATGCCAGTAAAATCACTATATTGTACAACATGGATAGGAGTTAAGCCAACAAAATCATAATATTTTACAACACATATTAAGACAACAATCTTTGAAGAGTATTTGATCCTACCATATTTAGTTATTGTGAAGAAGATTTTTAAACTTCCAACAAAATGATCTATTTTTGGCCTCGCCTCTCAGGCCCCTGGGGGTTAAGGACAAAATAATTAAATATTTTGGTTCACTTTCAGCAAATCAAAGGTTTCTACAAAATTTACCTGAAACTGGTTTAGGAGTTTTCAGAAGAAGTCAAAAAAGTAAAAAGTTTATAGATGGAAGACAGATGACCCTAGACAAAGGGGGATGGCAATAGGTCACCATGAGACTTTGTCTCAGGTGACCTCCTTTATAGGCCACACCAATAAAATCACAATATAGCATAACATGTATTAAGGCCAAGCCAGTAAAATCAAGATAATCTGTACACTTGTATAAGGGACAAGGGAGGTTTTTAAAACTTCATATCCCTATTATATATGAGAAACAGATTAAAACATTAAGTACTTGTAAACAAGACCATCAAAACCAAAAACAAAGTCTACTCCAGAAATTCAATATGATCTTGATATTGAAGTGCAAAAATACTCGGAGTTCTAAATCTATGTGAATGTGAAGAAAATCTACAACTTAATATAAAAATTTTTGATGAAAAAAACTATTTACTTCTATTGCCAAATGAAAAATTAAATGGAAAACAATTGCCAGATGATTAAACACGTCAAAAAGCTAACAATATTTTACTTGTACAGAACACATGCCTCTTAACAATCCCAGATAATTAAACACATCAAAAAAGTTAACATCGTCTTGTAAGTTCTACAGAACACATGCCTCTCAGTACAGATATAAAATGAATCAAGAATCAACATATAATTCATTTGCTTGGCCCCATCGAGACATAGACCTTTTCCCACAACCAAATCTAAACAAACCAGAGTTAAGTAAGGAACGAAACAACTGTTCCACTTCGATCAACATTACCGAACATTACAGAGAGAAAAGTTCCACATGTCTCAATTTCTACTCTTAGCGTGTGCTTCTTGTCAGTCTTTTATCATACTGACTATGTATTTAACACCAGTGAAGACTTCATATTGATATGTATATGCTCTTAGACCTGGTCTGTTCCTTCTCACCAAGCAGATTACCTAAACTTGAAATAACACATTTTTTCCCATTACATCAAAAAGCCAGAATAGTGGAATTCTCGTTCTCAACATTACACCATACTTTACATAAATACTTGTACAAATGGCATGCTTTACGACCCGGCATTGATATTAATACCTCTGGTTAACAGGAAGGTGTTGCATTAACCATATGGTAACATGCAACGCATTCATCTGTTTTTTAACCAAACAAAAAAAACTTCTTCATTACAATCCATTTAATCAAAACATTTAACATATAGCATTTCAGAGAACAATTTAGACGAACTGTTAATGGTGACACTTTTTTCCTCATGATTATCAACCCCTTTGACAAGGAACTTCAGATATACAATTGAACAATTTAAATAAAATCAAATGTTTACTTCAAAGTTTGGAAGGGATTGACAAAATACTTCACATTATACAGGGTCTTCGAGTTATAAGAGTTTGATATAACAAGGTTTGATGGGACTTCTATATTAATTTCGAGATAAGGTAACAAAGAATCAAATAATTCACTTAAAAGATTAAAAAATCTTCGTTGAATGTCTTGACCTTACTATGAACCAGGGACAAACCTTTATCCAAAAATCAGTCCGGCCTGACCAATCAGTGATCAGTCTGGTCTGACCAATCGAGAACCAGCTTGACCTGACCAATCAGAAAATGTTTCACCTGCCTCATCAAGAATCATTTGGCCTGACCAATCAGAGATTGTTTTAAAGTGCCCAATCAGGAACAGGCCTGGCCAGACCTCGCATGACAATCGTTCAATTTGAGACCATTTCACAAAATCTCAAAATTGCCTAACCAAACAGCTCAATCAACATGACCATCTTATCAATAATACAAAGGCTACCAAGACTGGTGCCTTATAACTTCTGATAATGAATAGGCCTGTTAAGACATTACTAATCAGGTAAAATTGGTGATCATTTTCATGCAACACACATATTTATTTCCTCACTTGGTGCCTATAAGTACAGACTTATAACTATCTATCCATACAATAACCATCTCTGAACTTGAACAAGTCTTGCATTATAATCAGTTCTGAAGATTGAGACTTACTCATACCAGTAGATAATGAGTAATTAAGTGTGAAACAACAGGGAAAACACAGTTGTCAAGTGCCATAACCACGACCCCCAAGTCTCCAACATGATAATTGACAGATTCTACCAATTGAGTCAAGGAAGCATGCTTCTTCAACTTAGTGACAGAAATCATATTTATACTAGCCACATTGACCTGTTCCTTTTACACAAGTGTAGGTTATAAGCATGGAATGTGTTCACACTGTATAAGTAGAATTGGATGGCACAGAATTCACATCATTTCTTTTTCAAATACTGTCATACACCACTGTAGGTCAATGTCCAGTGGTCATTTGAGTGATTTCCTCTAAACACCTGGCTAGGTGTGACCAATTACTGGCTGTCATTTCTGCTATAAACAAGTTCACCTTGATGTACCTGTTGTGACAGGTAATGTTTTCATAATTTGCATTAAATCAAAAACTAACCCAGAAGTCAGATCAAAGGTGTGAATCCCTTTAAAAGTACAGCATGAACTCAAAATGACCTCCTCCACACCAAAATCCAAAATTGCAAAAAGAATTATCAGTCAGAAAATATTTCACAAATCCAAATCAGAGACAAAGTACAAGCTCACAAAGATGTGATCAAAGACAAATATCAACCTCACTTGTAAAGAAAAAATTCAATCAGAAAAATAGTTCATGAATCTTTATGCTTATTATAACTTCAAATTAATTAGGCCAACTAAACAAGTTTAAAAAAGGATATATATACAAAAGTATATGATATTCTGTTAACAGGTGTCAATGTCATGAAATTCTTGTTAAATGAAATAAACAGTGCTTAATTTAACAGGACATGGTCAAGCATTATGAAAATTCACTAAATGTGAATATATTGAGAATTTCAAATCAACAGTTAGAAACCAGAAATGTGCCAAACAACATTTACATTATAAGTATTCATAATATTTTTTTATTTATACATCTATATGATTTGTATAATATTTTTTCTTTAATGAAGACATGGCAAAATAAGAGATCCAAAAGGGATCTTGGTGCACATCATTGTTTGATCTTTATTTCCTCTTTCCCTTCATTTTTTCTTGTCTTTCCTTTTTTTCGCTCTTAATAAAGAAATTTGATCGTACCTTTGCTAGGGATCAAGGGAAACATAAATAGGAAATTTGTGAAAGATCTATGCTGTAATTCTCAAGAAATTGCAATTTTAAAATCCAAGATGGCCACCTGTCGGCCATTTTGTTTTTCTGGTCAGGCCCAAAATCGAATAGGCATAATAAGGGACCAAAGGGAACTGAAATTTCAGAAAGATTCATACAGCACTTTTCAAGAAATAGCAATAACGAAAATTGTTCATAGATGGACGGCTGGACCACAAACCACAGACAGATGGAGGTTTGAATAGCCTACTGTCTGATGATGAAGGGCTAAAACTTTTCATAACTGACTTTTTTTCTTTAATGAATATTCTGTACGAGACATGTTGTGGTGTGTGTCACTGTGACAAATTGCTCAGCTAAACTCCATGCCAACTGATCAAAGGGAAATAACTGCTCTTTACTTAAGGAAATATATTTATTGATAATGATAGGAACAAACCCAGGGGGTCAAAAATCTTCATTAACACTGTATGCACCAGTAACCAAATATTTCATGCCAAGAATACATGATAGCTTTTTCATCATAACTCCTTTGATAACATCTTTGTTTGAAATATAAAATGTACCATGAAACTTTTATCTCCGCAGTTTTACTTTCAACCTTTTGTCATCAGGTTGAATATAAAAAGTTTACAATAATTTGATATTGAAACTGAAAAACTTTTTTCATGCATTTTGAATAAATTTAAGATTGGGCAAAAATTTTAAGTTTTATGCATGCATAAATATTCAGTGATGTTTGCAGTACAAGATAAATACTTAAGATGTTTTACAAACATATCACTGTAGAATTTCATCGCTCTATGTTTTAAACACACAGGTAGGAATTAGTGTATAATTAAAATGTCATCATCTTCAGGACAGTATTTTTTTTATTAATTATAATTAGATAAGATACCATGGTGATAAGCATGTTTATTAAGTACTGTAAACATACATATTAATTTAGTGCTTTCTGCATTATTGTACTTCAATATCAATATGCTAATTGATTTTTCTGTATGTCTTTAATACATATAGAAATGATTTCAGAAACACAAATTTACTGTGTCCCTCATTTGTCCAAAAAATGATATTGCTCAAAATTTTTTGTTTCACCAATGTAAGTATGTTTACAGTTTGTCGTAGATGTTTTACCCACTTACCTTTTGGATTCTGCGATAGCCATCATCTGGGACGTATCAGATTTACTCCGCTGTAAATCTTTCTTGCGTAACACTCTTTTCACTTTTGAACCAGATTTCTTATCCTTGGATGTATCACTGCCACCTTCTTTGGACATCACTTTAGCAAGTAATTCCGAATCAGATAAATATTCTGCGTTATCCAACAACAAATCATCCAGATTAAAGTCAGGTGACTTCGCTAAAATTTGTTTGATGTCCATAGGTGTAATAACTTTTGGTGGAGTTTTCCCATGGAGGGGAGTTCGTGATGATTCCGAGTCCTTTTCTCCAACAGATCGACTCCGTCTGTACTCTGCTGATTTCTCTCCTGTCCTCCTCAACATGCGTCTACTCCTGCCTTTTTCCTTCGACGAGCTGTCATCGGATGACCCATGTTTGCGTTCTGCTGCCGTCGAGCTGACAGACTTTTCATCCTCTGTGGGTTTCTTAAATTTCTTTTCCAATTCTCTCTCTTGTAATCTTGACTTTTCTTCTAACTTTCTCTGAATCCTAGCTTCTAATTTTGACTTTGCATCCAAACTAACTTGTCGCTCAACACTTTTCCTTTCTCGACTACTGCTGAGGTCTGACCTCCTGGAAGAGATTTTCTTGCTCTCTTCTTTACTCTGTGAAGTGTTGGGTAAAGGTTGTTGCACAGATGAGGATGCTTTGACCTTTCCAGATGTTTTAGTCTTCTGTTCAGGTTTGACCTGAATGTCTGAAGCCTCTATCACTTGTGGTTGTACAAGAGAAGAACTTATCTGTTTCCCTTTCTGAGTTAAATCAGGTGTTTTTGTCTCTATCTTTTTAGATGAAACACTTATAGCTGCTTTTGACACAGCTTCAGAAGATACATTGGAATCTTGAGACACCGGTTGTGACTTTAAGAGTACATTTTCTTGTTTAGAATCCAATGATTTTCTAGAACTGCTAGACTCAGAAACCACAGACGAGACTTTATCCTTGGACTCTGTTGGTTCTAGAGAAGGAGTCTTGCGATCAGCGGACCTATTAACCTCCTTGGCGCTGGCTAACACCCTTTTGTCAGGACTTCTCCTTGAGCTAAGGACCTTCTGTTCTTTTCTGGTGTCTGCAGCATTTATTTGGAGCTGTGTAGTAGATACAGATGATGATGCTTTTTTGTTGACTTTCACAGTCTCAGCAGATGTCCCCTGCTTCACATCTTTAGTGGCAGCCTGAACAGAAGCTGCCGGCTTCACATCTTTAGTGGCTGTCTGGACAGAAGCTGCTGGCTTCACATCTTTAGTGGCTGACTGGACAGAAGCTGCTGGCTTCACATCTTTTGTGGCTGTCTGAATAGAAGCTGCTTGCTTCACATCTTTTGTGGCAGCCTGGACAGAAGCTGCTAGCTTCACATCTTTAGTGGTTGACTGGACAGAAGCTGCTGGCTTCACGTCTTTAGTGGCTGACTGGACAGAAGCTGCTGACTTCACATCTTTAGTGGCTGACTGGACAGAAGCTGCTGGCTTCACATCTTTAGTGGCTGACTGGACAGAAGCTGCTGACTTCACATCTTTAGTGGCTGACTGGACAGAAGCTGCTGGCTTCACATCTTTAGTGGCTGACTGGACAGAAGCTGCTGGCTTCACATCTTTAGTGGCTGACTGAATAGAAACTGCTGGCTTCACATCTTTAGCAGTGGCCTGGACAGATAATGCTGGCTTCTCATCTGTAGTAGTGGCAGGGATAGAAACTGCTGGCTTCACATCTTTAGAAGAAACAGAATCTTTCTGTTTGACTTGAACTACAGTCTGTGACTTTGATGGTGGAAGCACATTTTGATCAGATAAATTACTTTCAGTAAGCTGTGATTTAATTTCAATACCTTTGACCTGACTTGTCTTCGGTTCCTCAGACACATCCTTTGAGAACTTCGAGACGGAATGTTTCTCCTGAGTCAAAGCCTCCTGTGTTGTTTTGGACAGCACAGGTTTCATTTCTAACACACTTTTCTGTGTAGTATGGTCTTGTTTCTTATCCAATGATGATTGCTTTTGAACCCTACTGGACGAAGAAACTTTTCCCTCAGGTGGTTGAGGAGCTGTTTCGACATGAGAATCAGAAGACACCTTCCCCGAGTCTTCTGGTTTCTCTCCCAACATCTCCTGTATACTCCTCACTGAAGATCTCTGGTAAGGCGTTTTCTTCGCTGGCTGATCTGTTTTCACTTTTTGTCCATCACTTTTGTCGGCTTTTTGTTTGACAGTTACGGTGGAAGACCTGACATTAGATCCCATTGTTTCTTTGGGAGTATCAGGCTGTGCCTGCCGTGAAGCCACCATTTCAGTTTGTTGGGACACCGTAGGTTTTATAGCCACAGTTTCAGATTTTACTTTCGATGAATCAATTGAGGTCTTATCAGCCTCAATACTTTGTACACTCATCACAGTGGCAGGTGAGCAACCAGAAGAAGACGATTGAGAGTCTATATCTTCCTCACCCTCAAACATCTGAGGTTCTGGTGTACCTCCCAATGCAGCTGGAATATTGGGGAGTTGTCTCCTCTTTTTCTGAGGTTTATCGTCTTCAGTACTGTCTTGCTTTTCTAATTTTTCTTCTGGCTGTACACTTAGAAGTTTCCCACTGTCAAACTGAGCTTCTCCATAAAGAAGACGTTGACGTCTAATTTCAAGGGAAGACAACTCCTTTTCAGGATAACCAGCCTTCCTTTGCGAATCTTCCTCAGCTGTGGAAGAAATATCACTATCGTTAAAACGTTCTCGAAATTTGGAAAATTTACTGGCAAGGTACACTTTCCCGTCTTGTGCATCTCTTTCAGGGCTTGCCGTCAACCTCTGTGAACCATCCCTTAGACTGCTTGAACGTGATATTACAGACGGGACCATTTTCAGTGGGGAACCTTCTTTCAAACTTCGCGACCTTGCCAGTTTTGAAATATCCTCATTACTTCCGTTACCTCGACTCGCAGAAGTATGGAATAGGGAAGGAGCAATGTCAGACATTTTGATATTTTCACTTGTTTTGTCACCATCACCAAATTTAGCAGCAAGAAAGGCAAGCTGACGACGTCGTTCATCTTTGTACAGCGCAATTCTTTCCATACGACTTAATTCTGTATTAGACGGACTTTCCACTTCCTGTGAGATTCCATTTGAGGGTGACAATGGTTCTTCTTGACCTTTAGCAAGCAAACTTGCAACATCTGTGGTCTTAGCTCTGACTTGCCCATATGGCTTCTGTGTCTTACGAGTAGATTCACTGACTTCAGGAGTCTTTAGTGTTTCATTTTCCTGTTTTTCATTTCCTACGTCTTCCTGTAGATGACTTGACTTTGACCGAACATAATGTTTAATTTTTCTTGATTTTAAGTCACTTGGTTTAATGCAGCGTGCTTCTTCGAGTCCTTTCTGACTTTCATCATCATTTGTGTTATCGTCTTCCTTTGGTGCAGTATAAGTGTCAATATTTGATTTTGTTTCAACTTTTGTTGTTGTCTCCATGACAACCTTGGGTGCTGATTTTGTGTCAACTTTTGTAGCAGATTTTGCTTGAAGACTTTCCAAATTTTTTCTGTCTGGTTGTTTTTTATCGAGGACGACATTAGAGTTATATGTTAGATCGGTTTTAACACTAACTGTCTCCTGAGATGGTTTGACTTCTCTGCCACTTTGGGATACATTAGTGCTAACACTTTTCTGTGTGACATTAAGGTTCTGCTTATTCTTAGAATTTGTTGCAGTAATATCAACAGTTGTTACTTTAGTAGAAACTTTAACATCCACATCAGCACTTTTATCATCCATCTTGGCTTTTTGTTCTTGTTTCTGTTTCACACTTTCCAACATTTTCATTCTGATTTTGTCCTTTTCTTGCAATCTTTCTTTCAATCCTTTATGTCGTTTGATTTCTGTACTTTTACGTTTTTCTCCTTCACCTACGGAAGAAACACTTGGTGTTCTCACTTGTTCTTCCTTGGTATCAGAACTAACAGACGATGTAGACGCTCTCTTTGACTGTCTTTCAGCTGGAATAGGTCTTTGTATATCTGAAGACGTTTCTTTATTAGCAAAAGCTCTTTCTTTTTCTGATCTTTTACTCTCCTCTAAAGATTTCTCGACTCTCTTACTTGTGATATCGGACGTTTTTAAAGCATCCATGTATCTTGATCTGATGTTGTTGGATTCACTTCCTCTAACAATACCTTCACCTTTCTTCTGTTCTAAATCTGTACCTGGCATAATACTGTCTGTTTTCTGTTGGTATGGTGATGGAGACAGTGTGGAAGACTTGGGGTCTGAGGAAGTAGATCCCCTGTTTATACCATACTCTCTGGAAGACCGTTCCAATGAGGACTTAGAGTCAGTGGAGGACATGGATGGCTTATAAGGATACTTATCTACAAAGACAGATGATGTGTCAGAAGAACTAGATGCAGTCCTCAATTTTGTGTCCGTGGATGATGTTGATGCAGACCGCATATCAACAGATGAGGATGAAGACCGAGTATCTGACACAGACCTTGCACCAATACCTGAGTCAGATGGCTCCCTTAAGGAATATTTCTTTTCTAATGCTGTCGCCAATCGGGACCCATCTTTCTCCTCTCTAGAAGAATGACTTCTACTTAATGAACTGGAAAATTTAGATTCCGGTTGGGATGAAACTTTCTCTGTTCGAAGGTCATGACCTCCAGGTGCCCTAGCAGACTGTGACCTATTTAAGGATGACATCGTTCCTGAATCACTAACACCTGTCACTTCATCTCTGGAAGAAAACCTATTTGAATCTGATCCAATTCTGGCTGATATCCTTTGTTCAAGAGTCATGATTTTACTATCGGAGCCTAATCGGGACTTTTGCTGAGACTTGCTATCAGATTCAGATCCAAGCCTTGAAGAAGTCCTGTCTGCTGAAGCAGAAGAATCTCTATCCGAATACTTCCTCTCTAAAGAAGAAAGAGGCGAGTCCTGATTCTGCGTTGATCCAAACCTGGATGCTGTCCTAGAAGTTTCCACATCCTTTAACCTATCGGCTTTGAAGGATAATGGCGAAATAACACTTTCTCTTTTATCAGTTTTAACATCCGTACTAGGAAGTGGTGTTTCTTCTCTACTTCCTTCCTTTTCTAATTCTTTTTTACGTTTTGCCTCGGCATATTTTGTCCTTAAAAGAGGACTGTCTCTTTGAAGAAGAATTTTTTTCACAGCCTCTGCACTAAATGCTCTGGCACTATCACTGTCCTCCAGTGACATTCCCTCTTCAACAGAATCTATACTAGAACTTTTTGGAGGTATCCTGGCATCCTTCAATCGCTGTAATCGATCTCTTGCAGTCTCTGTTCTATTTTCACTTTTATCACCGACCCTACTTTCACTTTTAACTGAATGTTCACTGTCTTTGTCCTTGGTTTCACTTTCTTCACATTTTATTCGTTCTCTTTCCTTGGATTTGTTTTCACTCATGTTAAGAAATTCTCTCCGTCTTTGTTCTCGTTCTAGACGTCGCTTCCTCCAGACCGGCATCGTGTCAGCCTCAGCATCCACCGCACCAGGTGGTTCCATTACTGCTTGATCGGATTTTGCACCTCTTTCGCTCTGTGACCTTTGAACTCCGCTCTTTGGAGAAGTCAAATGCTCACTAGTTGATCTTAACCTGTCTGATAGCGTACTTTGAGATATTTCAACTGGTTCTGTTTTTGAAAGTGTTGCCTCAGTTTCATTTATAGTATCTGGTTTCTTTCTTTGATACTTGCGTTTTATTTCTGCTATAGGGTCCCGTTCTTCAGATTCCCTTCGTGAGGAAGCTAGAGACCCTCTATCTGAATCTGATTTGTCTTCCTCGCCGTAAGAATCACGATATCTGCGATAGGAAGCCTTGTACAATGCAATATCATCATCCTTGTTGACGCCATGTTTTTGTCCTAAGGGAAGATCTTGGTCCTTGTATTTGGTTCCCGGATATCGTCGCCTTACGATGTGAGAGTCAAGATCATCCTCCTTTGGTTTATCTCTTAAAGTTACATCTGCTGATCTGTCTGTATAGTCACTTCGGCCGTACCTGAAAAAGAACATGTAAACAAAATCAAATTCTGAGCAAAATTTCAACTTCAATGTAGAGTAGTTTAACTAGATGACAAGGATACAGCTGTGTCGAGGAGGCTAAGAACAGGAACACTCAGCTGTGTCAATGTGATCTAAAGCTGGGACACACAGCTGTGTCAATGTGATCTAAAGCTGGGACACACAGCTGTGTCAATGTGATCTAAAGCTGGGACACACAGCTGTGTCAATGTGATCTAAAACAGGAACACTCAGCTGTGTCAAGGTGATCTAAAGCTGGGACACACAGCTGTGTCAATGTGATCTAAAGCTGGGACAGACAACTGTGTCAATGTGACCTAAAGCTGGGACAGACAGCTGTGTCAATGTGATCTAAAACAGGGACACACAGCTGTGTCAAGGTGATCTAAAACAGGGACACACAGCTGTGTCAAGGTGACCTAAAGCTTGGACACACAGCAGTGTCAATGTGATCTAAAACAGGGACACACAGCTGTGTCACGGTGACCTAAAACAGGGACACACAGCTGTGTCAATGTGATCTAAAGCTGTGACAAACAGCTGTGTCAAGGTGACCTAAACCAGGGACACACAGCTGTGTCAAGATTATCTAAAGCTGGGACAGACAGTTGTGTCAATGTGATCTAAAACTGGGACACACAGCTGTGTCAATGTGATCTAAAACAGGGACACACAGTTGTGTCAAGATTATCTAAAGCTGGGACAGACAGTTGTGTCAATGTGATCTAAAACTGGGACACACAGTTGTGTCAAGATTATCTAAAGCTGGGACACACAGCTGTGTCAATGTGATCTAAAGCTGGGACACACAGCTATGTCAAGGTGATCTAAACCAGGGACACACAGCAGTGTCAATTTGATCTAAAGCTGGGACTCACAGCTGTGTCAAGGTGACCTAAACCAGGGACACACATTTGTGTCAATGTGATCTAAAGCTGGGACACACAGCTGTGTCAATGTGATCTAAACCAGGGACAGCCAGCTGTTCCAAGGTGTCAAGCATTAGGGACACACATCTATGTCAAAGAGACTTAAACTGAGTATAGTGACAAGGTGACCTAGATCAGAGATACACTGTTGCTGGGTCAAGGTGATCTCCATCAAGAACACAGAGTTATGAAGGCAAACATGAGCATTTACCACAACTATGCCAACATGACCTGAAGCTGGGCCAGACAGCCAAGTTAAGCTGTGTTAACGTGGCCTATAAAGTATGATGACAATGATACATGTCAACAAGGCAGAATCAGGAGAAAATTAAGTATTCCAAACAGCAGGCCATGATCTTGTTAGCTACTATTACACAATAGCATTACCTCTTCCATTTACCTATAGTTCCTTGTATTAACATAACTATGAATGCATCAAGACTCGTTATAGAAATTTTAATACACATATTCAGCACATCTGAGAACACTTATAAATTTATTTACACCAGATTCTGAAGCTTTAATAACAGGTTTAAACCGATATAAAATACAGTTCCCCGCTGGAGGGAGTTATTTCACTATTATGACTACACAAGTCCTATACAAGTCATAAGGCTACACACGGTCAAGGCCACATATCAAAAAGTCAACAGAAAAATAGAATTTCACAATGATGATGAATTTGAAAGAAAACTATTAAATTTTCATCAATTTTTTTTTCTGAAATAATTAATGTGTCAGGTAAAAACACTTCTAGATGTGAAAGAATAATTAACATATATTAGTATACAATAAAACTGTATACACAGACTATAATCACACAGGATCTTAACATTAATTCACCGAACATTAATTCAAGTATGTAGGCCATATATATTGTAAATCAATTCCCGATTCTTCGACTTGTGAGGTAGAGTGCTTTACATTTACATACATTACGTTGTTGTGTAAACTTATTGCTCTGTACTAAGTGACTCACATAATAGCTGATGTCATTCTGTCATGAAATAATCAAACTGAAGATGTAAAAAAAAAAAAAAACATGTAAGTGCTTTCATATGTTAATTGCCCTTAATTTAATGTTGACATCAAGTCAATTTTTATCACTCCAATAAAATGTTGCTTGTGAATTCCTTCTGTGTACTATCTCTGTAATGTATGCAGGCTTATCTCCAGATCTATCCTTACAGTTGACTCCTTATTCAATGTTATGGTTTAAAATATTTTAAATCTTAATGTAAAATCTATTTTTTAAATTTACTTTTACTTTCTTAAACAAACATACAAATAAATGTCAATCACATTGTTTGACTTGAATTGTAAATATTTTTAGAGTTTATCTCTTCACATCAAACACTGAACTGTAAACCAAAGTCCAGACAAGAGGCATAAAGGTCCTGTATTTCTAATTTGTATTGAGTTATGTAAAAAGAAATTAACAGTACTTTTCAGGTTTGAGTCCATGATAAATAAATGCTACCATTAATGATGAAATATTTTTTTAATTTCCTTAAAACTATCAGTTGACCTTTATTTGGTGAACTGCTTCAGAGTTACTACTTACAAACATCTGATCTGAAGTTTTATCTCCTAAAAAAGATTTCACTATGAAACCTACTTCTTTAAGTTAGCTTGACCCACATACAGGGTCATGAGAATGAAGTAACCCATTTTTTTTTTCTACAGGTAACAGTTTTATTTCTGAGGGCTATGGACAAACAATTTTATTATTTTGTAAATCAACATTTCACTTGACAAATAAATAACAGGTGTTTTCATTCAAGATTAGAAATGATTCATCTCGAACTAAAGTATCTAACATTACGACTTTCTAGCATTAAAATACTGTAAATAATCTTTTTTGTTTCAGAATCTGTTTAGACAATCCTAGCTGTCCAATGTCCCAACGGTTAACACTAGATAATATGCATCAAAGTTTTCATTGTGTATTAGAAATCAATGATGAAATTATAGCCACTAATTACAATCCCATAGACAGATATCTACATCAATAAATTCTGGGTTTAACTGTTATTAGTGTATCTTTTGTTAAATACAGGTACTTACCTAGTTGTTGAGCTGTATCCTAGATCTGAGCTCCCCGTACGTGGGCTAATGTATCCGCGCGAGTCGTAGCCGGAAGAGCCTGTTGTGTCGTAACTCCTCCCACTATCTAGGCCACGCCCACTGTCATAGCCCCGCCCACTGTCAAGGCTATAGTCAGTAGCATACTGATGACTCAAATCGCTGCCATAACTCCCAGTTGCAGAGGATGCGTCATATCTAGAGGACGCTCCAAGGTCGCGTGACCTTGACCCAATATCATATGACCTCGTTGATGAATCGTAGTTTCGTGGGTTGTAACTGCTGTCATATGTTCGGCCATATCGTGACATTGCGTCGTATGTGGATAAACCACTGCTGTAGCTGTTTAGAGCCGGCCCTGTCAAAAAAATTAGGAGAGACTTATTCATAAAACATGTTACCCTTTTGTGTTTGAGATCAATGTAATCTATATATAACAAAATGTTCATTTTCCCCACAAACTGATGCCAAAATGCATCAAATTTATCTACTGATGTTATTTCCAATTTTTGTCGAACAGAATTACCTCCCATTTTGTATATGTAAGAAAGACAATTGGATATGATGCCATTAAAATCACAAGCAAAAATTTACCCATGTCATGTACATGAAATTATGATATTGCTCATAGTGGGAATATTTTCATAAATATCAATATTCAATAATGTTTTACAAGAGGTAAATAGAATCTAATACAAGAGATCCTCGAAGGATTTGGTGCCAGCCACTCTTTGATCTTCAAAGGTTCCATAAAATTTGGGTCGTTTTCTTATTTTCTTTCTTTCCTTTCCTCTTAATTGCAATTAATGATATGAAATTTGAGAATTCTCTCTTCAGAAATAAAAATGATAGTCTTTAAGTGTTCTATCAAATATAATCTTCTATCAGCAATTCTATTCTTCAGATCAGTCCTAAAATCGACCAGACACAACTAAGGTCAAATGGGAACCTATATATGAAATTTGAGAAAGATTCACCTAGTCCTTCTCAAGTTATTGCTAAAACAAACTTTCATTGTCAAAATTCAAGATGGTTGCCTGTCAGCCATTTTGTTTTTGTGACCAGTCTCAAAATCAAATTTGGGAAAGATCATAGCCCTACTTCTCAAGAAATAATGAAAACAAGAATTGTTTAAGGACAAATGACAGACCACTGACAATTGTGTCATTTGAACAGTCTACCATCAGTAGATGGTGGCCTACAAAAACCTGTGTTATCAGTCTATTGTTGTAAAAAAGAACATTTTAAGTCGAACAAGTTTAACAAAGATTTTACCTGTATATCCATTGCTAGGGAGGGTGAACGAGTAGTTGCCGTATCCATAGCTACCAAGACCAGAACTTCCTCCGTAGCCTCGCCTACCTGTAATACACAAACATGTCTACCTGTCAGTCAAATATTCACTTACGACAGTGAAAAACTTGAACCATCATCTGTTGGTAAATTCCTAAATGGAATCCCCTAAAAACCTCGTAAATTTGCATCCTGGCACTAAAACATGTCAAGGGATATGTGAAAAAGAAGCAAATGAAAACTGGTTTGATACAAGAACCTTTCTTCAAATGAATAGAAGTATTTAGTATTCCAAACTCAGTGGGCAAGGAAAATGTCAAGCAGAACTTGCCAAGTGTTTCTCTTCCCATAAATGTCTGCTCTTCAAGTCAATCAAAAACATTTTCTTGTTTTCCTTTCCGTGTTTGTCAAGACCTTGATCAAACTAGTCGACAGATCATTACACATCATGACAGACAGGTATCACAACACTAGTCCATGTAAATTGAAATTTAATGGAACATAATATTCCATTTCAAATTATAAATGCTAGTGAATATTTGTTCCATAATGAATTTCCAGCAAACTAACAAGGCTCTTAACAGTAACATAGAGTATACAAATGTAGTACACAGCCTTCAGGTTGACAGTCTACTACAGTAAAAAGTTCACTTTGACAGTACACAAATGTAGTAAACAGAGTTCACTCTGACAGTACACAAATGTAGTAAACAGAGCTCACTCTGACAGTACACAAATGTAGTGAACAGACTTCACTTTGACAGTACACAAATGCAGTGAACAGACTTCACTCTGACAGTACACAAATGTAGTAAACAGAGTTCACTCTGACAGTACACAAATGTAGTAAACAGAGTTCACTTTGACAGTACACAAATGTAGTAAACAGAGTTCACTTTGACAGTACACAAATGTAGTAAACAGAGTTCACTCTGACAGTACACAAATGTAGTAAACAGAGTTCACTTTGACAGTACACAAATGTAGTAAACAGAGTTCACTTTGACAGTACACAAATGTAGTAAACAGAGTTCACTTTGACAGTACACAAATGTAGTAAACAGAGTTCACTCTGACAGTACACAAATGTAGTAAACAGAGTTCACTTTGACAGTACACAAATGTAGTGAACAGAGTTCACTTTGACAGTACACAAATGTAGTTAACAGACTTCACTTTGACAGTCCACAAATGTAGTGAACAGAGTTCACTTTGACAGTACACAAATGAAGTGAACAGAGTTCACTTTGACAGTACACAAATGTAGTGAACAGAGTTCACTTTGACAGTACACAAATGTAGTGAACAGAGTTCACTTTGACAGTACACCAATGTAGTGAACAGAGTTCACTTTGACAGTACACAAATGTAGTAAACAGAGTTCACTCTGACAGTACACAAATGTAGTAAACAGAGCTCACTCTGACAGTACACAAATGTAGTAAACAGAGTTCACTTTGACAGTACACAAATGTAGTAGAACAAATGAAGTGAACAGAGTTCACTTTGACAGTACATAAATGTAGTTTACAGAGTTCACTTTGACAGTACACAAATGTAGTGAACAGAGTTCACTTTGACAGTACACAAATGAAGTGAACAGAGTTCACTTTGACAGTACATAAATGTAGTTTACAGAGTTCACTTTGACAGTACACAAATGTAGTAAACAGACTTCACTTTGACAGTACACAAATATGGTAAAAAGTTCACTTTGAAAGAGTACTAAAGTAGTAAACAGTTCAATTGACAGCTAGCTTATACAAATGTTGTTAACAGAGTAGAAACGGGGATCCAGAAAAGAAACAGGTTAAATTTTCCAATGTATTATATATATTGTAGAGGCTTTGATATAAATGAAGAGTTGTGACTTTCCAGTGTCTATAACCCAAATTACATAAGGTCTAGTATAAAACATCATGTTGTGACTTCCCAGTGTCTATAACCCAAATTACATAAGGTCTAGTATAAAACATCATGTTGTGACTTCCCACTGTCTATAACCAAAATACATTGAGCTACTACAAACATCAGCCTCATCACCATGACAGAAGTAATTTGGTGCCTCCGTCAGATTTCCTCCCCTGATAAAACAGGAATGTGGCTATTTTGGTCCAGGTTTAATTTACAACTCTTCCCAAACGAACTAAAAGCACTTCTGAGTTCTCCAGCCTAAGATAGCATTCTAGGACTTTGTCGCTGAAAGCCTTAATTAGTTTACCAACAATCCATATGATTTTTTCATGACTTGTTTCCAACCAGGATCGTAATGCTTTGTCTAAAGACTCCAAATTAATGTCGGCTAAAAATAAGACATTCATTCAAGTTCGTTTAAAACTGTTGGAACAAATTTAATTTGAAAATTTTGGGTCAATGGACTAGACACGATGTAAGAGATGAACACTTGCTTGGTTATCAGGAAATATATAAATATGAATTTTATTTCATTTTACAACAATTTATCTTAAATTTTTTATTTTACTTTCCCCCTTCACCTGATAGCATGTGTTGTTATCAATGAAGTGCACCCTAGCTCCTCTAATTTTCAAATTTCCTGCAAACATTCAGGAAAATTTTTTTTCTAACTCAAGCTGACAAGGCTTTCGATAGATGACAATAACTGACACAATGGCCTTCTCATCAACACCAAATTTTTCTGGTTTTTATGCCAGAATCTATATAGCCTAACTACTTACTCTTTTGAGGAGAGAACACAAGTTTTAGCACTGAAAGTGTACAACGTCTTAGTCTTGAACCATCAGACAACCAGACACTCTGCCAATATAGTGTTTACAGATAGTCTTTAAAACGCCTGTTCATGAGGATACCACCAATAAAAGATATTTTCATCAACATTCCTATTAATAGAAAGGAAACTACCTCTTTGCTTTTATTTTCTTATGACTGACTTAATAATTAACGTCATTCTTTTTACAACAGAGAATGAGTTCAAAGTGGATTGAACTTGGGAGAAAAGGCACAAAAATGAAAATCTTTTTTAACCCAAAATTATGGAATTCATATAACAATTTTTCATGTCTTTTTTTTAAAGGGATTTAGCAATCAAAGTTTAGTGAAATTTATTTATTTGTTTAATGGTTTTAACGTCCAATATTACGGCCTTTTGGCCTTTCAGCACACAAGAAAAGATAAGAAAATGAGTAGGAGGGGAAAATAGGAAACAATGGGAGCAAGTGGGATATAGAGATGTTTAGTGAAACAAACAAGAGGGTTTATAAATTTGTATGTTGACCTCATATGGCTTAGTATTATCACTTCCTGTGAATGGTCATGCATCATTGGCTCTGCTCACACATCACAAATTACCACCAATAGACTTCCCACAGAGTGCCCAACATGGAAGGTGATTTGTAGATCACTCTAGGGGAACTACATTCTGGTCTTAAGTCATTCTTCATCTCTGGTAACATAAACTACGGATGATGCACCAATGTCTTAAGGAATCTGTTTGGACATTTCCAATATTGTTGCAAATTGTTGATTAATAAATTCAGAGAATCAATGTTTATCCTGTAAACAGATAGGGAGCTGGTAAATCCACAAATCTCACATCTTTACTTGTGGTTACATGTGCGGACGCTCTACGGACTGAACCTAAGCCGAACCAAAGCATCACACTTACAACTATGTAAACCGCCTTTTTTTAATAAACGTTTGCAATTCCTGCATCTAAATATGTTTTAAGTAATTAACCTTCAGAATAGAGATGATAGTAATACTATGCTGTCTATGTTTTTCATTATCCATGTCTCAGTTGGTGGCGATAAACTTTCCTAAACTGGTTTTACAAAAGCAAATTTAACATGAAAAAAAGCTGGTTTATCTGGTTAAATTTTTAAAGCATTAAAAATATAATCTGTTACCATAGTTATCCTTCCACAGGCCCAGGGATTAAATTTAATTCTACCAAATGTAGGAAGCACTATACTACATGCTTGTTACCACACAGCATTTGTAAGTACTGTAAATATATAACAGTATATTGTTTGTATCTGGAAATAGAGCCAACGCCCCCGTTGCTTTGAGTAGTGAGTAGATGGGCCCGTTGCCTTTCGCCTTGATACCAGAAGGAAAGCAGGGGATTGATGAATAAGGGTTGGCTTAAAACAAGAAGAATTAATCTCAATAGGCTGGAGGTGCAGGGTTCTTCAAATTTATTGAACTAGGTATTATGTCTACTGGTTTTGCCCTAATAGTCGGGCTTCATCAGGACCATATATCTTCTAGCAGTAATTATATTTTAGTTTTTTGTGTTGAAAATATTGCACTAAAATATGCCTACTCTAATTGGAATTTCTGCATTTGTCAATAGAGCAGTAATTACCCATGGCCTAATTAATCTTTTCCCAAAAAACAATACTGCGTTAAAATTAGATTGCCCAAATTAATTGTGTTTACAGTTTTTCTACTGATTCTGTCTTTCATGAAGGTGAGATTATTACAAGATAATGGTTTATTACCAGTTAAATATGGTTAGTTACATACAGAACTAATTTTCCCTGTAATCCTCCTATGTTGTGCAATCTGAAGTATTTCATGTGCTGTAAAACACAAACTATCCTGACTTTGTCACACTGTTAAACTATAATTTGTTTGATAGATTTATTGTTCTGAGAACAGTCAGGGTCACTTTGAGGTATGGTCTCCTTTTTAGAAGCTGGTTGCTACCTCAGTGAACAACATAGGAGATATCCATCAATCATGTCATCTAGAGCAATTAAGATAAAGTGCTTTATAAAAGGACACAATCATGTCAGCACAGACTGGTCCATTTCTTAACTTTCTAAGAAACACAAACTGCTATAGGTTATATGTCTATAACCAGACAGAGACAATGAACTGGATATAAAATGTATCAATGGACAGAGTGTTTCATACAGGATCCTGTCTGTATAGGTACATATATATTTAGACAAGCTAGTTTACTTTTAGTATATACTAATCCGTACAGGATCATATCTAACAGACAGGCGCCTAAGAAGTGATACAGAGATGGACCCTCCACTAGGCTGTGTGTTCTGGGGCCAGCAAGAGCTAACTAGAGTCAA